AATAACGTTTCCCTTCCATGTCCAACCTGAAGCTCCCATTACAGCAGCTCTGAGAAATGGCTGTCTAGTCATTCCCCTTCCCAAAAGTCTTTATGATTCAAGATTATTCCTCCTGCCTTAAGAGAGCCTTCACCTCTGCAATTCTGAGCCAAGGAACATCCAGACATCTTAGTTCTCAGACCCTCCAAGTATTTGCTCTTCAGTTTGTAAATGAGTTGACAAATCTTAGAGCAGATAAAATGCAGTTTAGTCTTTATTAGTGATTTAATTTGATTAAATTTGATTAGCTGATTCCTGAATTAAACTTTGTTTATTTTTTTATTTCAAGATACATATTTCCAAAAAGGATATTGTAGATTGACAGATAATTATTGAAGCTATGCAATTAATGCACAATATAACAATAATAAGATAAGCAGAGTACATTGAGTTCTTTTCAACATTAAAAAAAAAGAATTATGACTTTTTCAACATACTACCATAGTAAGTACTACCATAATACTACCATAGTGTCTCCTCTTTAATTATTTATAATTGTTACAAATAGAGCAGAAAAAAAAGAAACTGAAAAAACAAGAAAAGAAAAACCACCCTCTAAACCATAGAGATAAATCTTGAAGTTCTGCCTTCTCATGGAATAATCTGCAGCCAGAAATGCTTATTTCTTCTTAGGGTGATCAAGCATGTATTTGAATCAGAGAATTATTTTAAAAAGTAAGAAAATCGGTAGTTCTAATATTTGGAGCCTATTTTTATGTTCTTCCCCTGCTCTCATTTGGATGAAAGGTTTGTGGGTCTCCTTCAGAGGGGAGGTTGAGGCTGCCTTGGATCTTTCCCTGGGACTCTGATCATTTAAGAAATTTTGCCTGAATATTTCGGGCGTCTTCCACAGCATTGTCAAGAAAGCTGTTCAAAAAATTATACGTGACAGCGTATGAACTCACGCCACCAAACACAGACCCAATAGCAGGTATAAAATCAAGACCAAGTTCCACCAGCGATACGGTAGCCCAGACAGATGACTTACTCAAGAAAGAAAGTACTAAATCTCTATTGATTGTGTTGGCTAAGGGGGTTTTCTTGATAGCCGACTTCAGCTCTTCATATTCTTTTCCCGTCTGACGTGCCAGAAAGCGGAGGGACCGGTCATCTAAGCCAAACACCCTGCAGAACTTTCTCAGAGCATTTACCAAAATTCCAACATCACAAGCCATAGAGAGACCTGGGATAGGCACTATTCCACAAGTGAAAGATACCCACGCTACCTTCTTTATATAGGATTTCATTGCCTCTTTTTTCTTCATCAATTCATTTTCTGAGAAAATATGAACAGCCAGTGTTAAAATATCTTTCTGGTGTTCAGGAAGTTCAGCAGCTATTGTCTCTTGCAGGAGAGGGAAATCATACTCTTGAACCTTCCAGCTGGATATCAGAAATACTCTTGCAGGAGGCTCACCTGGACTTTGCAAACAACCTTGGCAATAATTCCTGATGGTCTCCAGGGTTTTTTCCTTGTTGAAATTCTTTTTCCTCTTTTCACCTTCGATACTGAGATCTATTTTGCTACGTATAAAGTAAAACTTCTTAGTCGTTCTTCCTATTTCCTTTGCCAGCAAAGCAGCATTTTCAGTGAAGCGATCAGAGGTAACAATAATAAAGACATCATATGTTTCAAAGTTGACTTGCTTTAGATATTCTGCTGCCTTAAATTGAGGTGTTCCGATTCCTGGAAGGTCCCATATTTTCATATTGGGGAACTTAGGGTGAGGATATCCCTTTGGCTGCATGGTTGTTTCTACTACTCCAACCTCGGCTGCCTCATCATCATCATCCGTTACACCCCGGATAGCATTGACAAAGGAGGATTTCCCAGCACCGGAATCTCCAGTAACTGCGATATTAAGGGGCAGATCATGCATTTCATTTAAACATTTTTTGTATTTATCTGCCACTTCAGGGACACTGCCTTGATTCAAATCTCTCTTTAAGTCTTCAAATTCTGCACTTACATTAGCTTTTGTAACATTATTGCCCATAGTTGCTCTTTGGTCTCTGCTGTGTATCTGAAAAAGAGAAAAGGACATTTGGATATTTCTCACCTGCCTGGCATTTTGAACTTTACAATTGGAGAAGAGCCCTGTGAATACTGGGGACAGTCAAGGAAAGGGAATAAGTTGAGAAGGAACCTTGGAGATCTCCTAGTCCAACCCCATGCCCCAGCAGGAGACCCTATACAATTCCAGACAAATGGTTGTCCAATGTCTTGTTAGAAGGCTCCAGTGAGGGAAGACCTACAAGTCCTTGCCAGCTTCCCCCATTGGTGAAATTATTGTTTCTTTTACATTTTTCTTGGTTTTTTTACATGGTGAAAGAAACTTTTTATTAATAATATTTTGACATTTGTGGCAAGTCTTAGTTTATTCTGAGCCTTAGCTTTCTTCACTTCATCTTTGTAGATATTGGCCTATGCTAGCATTTTGTGTTATTTATGTGTCCTTCTTTCCACTTGTTCTTTTTCTCTTTCAGTTTATCAGGGTTTTTTATGCAATCATGCTGGTTTCTTTTGGACTCCGCCCCCACCCCTGTCCTTTTCAGTGGTATTCTGCTAATTACTGCCTGGTCCAGTTATTATTAACATTAAATCCAGCTCCAAAAATCCACTTTAAACCCAAAGAAGACATCATTAAATGCAGGGGAGCTAAAACACCCCAGCTAGCTCTACTGCCCGCTTCCTCTCCCTCTTCTGCAGTGTGTCAGCACTGAAGTCCCAAAATGGCCACAGTCAGGCCAGCTTCAGGGTTGACAGACAAACATTATTGGGGGCACTTTGCAAATAATGCTTCTACCTTGTAAACCGCCAAGAGATCTAAACTGCTATAAACTCCACGGGATGATAAATAAGCCTAAATGCTCTTGCTATCGCTGAAGCTGAAGTCAGTCTTGCAAATCTGGAAGTACTTCACTTTTCGTTCCCCTTTTTGCCAAAGAACTAGAGAGGGTCCCTCTTTTGACTCCATTTAAATTTCTACTGCTGACTATGTTGCCTTTCATCTGTCTGTTCTTTCTATTGTGTGATAAGATCAAGTTGTAATCGTATACTATGACAACTGGTGCCTTTCATAACTGCAACGCCAATTTACCTAGATGAATGTCCAAAGCAGGAGGGGAGGGTATGAAAAGTCAGTCAATAGAGGGGGAAGCTTTCCAGAATGTTCTCCTTACTAGGCAGAAAAAACCAACACCACCACACGCTTGACACCACTCAAAATCCCTGAGCTGCTGCTGCTGCTGCTGCTG